ACACATCTTGCAAGAAGCATGTAGGAAGTTTCTGCATGTCTTTCTGGGATAGTAGTTGGTCACACAATATTACATAAGGATTTTTAAAAGGATCAGAGAAGGAGAAGACGGTGAACATTCATTTTTCAGAGCCTTTTCATGGGGAGATAGACATGGTTCCCAATGACACCTCTGGGAACAGGAGTAGACAGAAGGCAGACATATTTGGTGGTTGGTGATGTTTAATTGGAAGTGGAGCATTAGATGGCAAGATTTATACTAGTATTTTTTTCATTTTAACTGGTTTAAGTGGTACCTTAGGGAGATAACAGGGGCGCATTACCTACTGTGATATAATCTGCATCCCTGATAATTAATTGATGAAAAGAATAAATTTACTCAGCAGGTATGACAGTGACAATAGCTCTGTATTTTATAAGCAGTGTTTCTTAGGAAGATGCTCTTCCGGTATTTATAATTTATAAGATCTGTATATTTATATAGAGATATAGGGAACATTTGGTAAAATAGGTTTAATGTATTCATCAATGGCTTTTAGAAAAGATAAACACTGCTGAACAGCTCTCTCTTAAAACACAAACAAGAAGTTAACAATTTACAGCATAAGCCAGTCTCCAGGTTTATGATAGAGGCCTCAGGGTGGGTTTAGAACAAGTTCTTAAAAAGTATACTTGATCTAAAACTGCTTTACTCTCTGCTGTTACCAGCCCCTCTACGAGGCACAAGGTCACTATCTTTAGCTTTGATGGAATTATTTTTTCCTCCCCACTCATTCCTGCTCAGACTTACAATGACCACTCCATTTGAATGCTGGGGTGGGGGGTAAGAGACCATTGGAGGCATGGGTACTTGTCTGTTCCCAACTCACCTTGGTATACAACCCCAGAAATAGGTGGTCCTTGCCTAGGAGCACGTGCTTATTGAGTTGATTATGGCATCTCAATTTCTCTGTTGCATTCAGGAAAAAGGTGCCGGAATGGAGGAAGAAAAAGGTCAAGGGAGCTTTATGTTGCACTTCCTCCAGCAGCATCCTTGAGCTACTTTGGGCAGCACTGAAGCTCTGCAAATGCAAGTTCCTAATGATCGTGACCCACAGCCCCACAACAGGTCAAACATCCCTTCTCTTTTGCCCAGCATGCCTCTCACAACAGGGGCTGTGGAAGGGGAGGTCTACTGCTCTACAATAAACAGAGAGGCACATAATTTCATCCATCATACAAATAATTTAGGAGGTTGCAAGTGGCTGTTTTCTACTGCTCCCTCCTATGAGATACCCAGCTATGTTAAGGACCAAGTGTCTCTCTAGAGACTTAAATATCTCTCTCTCCCAACCCTGTACAAAACCTTTTATTTACAAAGATCTTTCAGACCAGCATTTAAATCAGCACTTATCAAAGGTATTTTGTACACAATTTCCTACATGAAATTATAGCCTCATTGTTTAAGAAAGTACCCATAATGCTTAGAGAAAATACTAAGCGCCTGTCAAAATGTATTTCAAAGAAAACAAAACCATTTATTTTCTGTCATTTACCTCCAGTTCCTCGCAGAAGCAGTGGGAATACTGTTGCTCAGGAAAAACAAGGACAGAAACTGTGGGGGACAGATAGATTTATGCTTTGTTTCAGTCTGTTGTTCAGAGACTCAGTCTTGTCACTTCCCTCCTAGGTGATAATTCTCATGAAACCATGTATTTCTTCAGAATGTAAAATTTCTTATGCTACTTTATGATAAACATATTTCAACTGATTTTAGAAACTTAGTTATTGGCTTGTTAAAACCTAGAAACTGTTCACTGATGATGAGCTCCCTATTGCATAGAACCTACTGTACAGAAGAGCCAAGTAACTGGGTGAAAGCTGAGATGATAGTCTAACAAAGTCTTCTCAACTTCTAATAAGAATGAAATTTGCTTTAAATATGGAGATTTATGTAAACATGGTCCATAATAAATAAAGGTGTGACTAAGAACCAAAGGATGATGAAGAGTCTATCCTTTCATTAAACTGACTATAGTAAAAATGGCAAAGTATGGCTGTAGGTGCCAAGACAGGTATTGCTTCCAGCAGCTAAGTGATATTGATTCCATATTAAAAAAAGGAAGGAGCCTGAGGGACATGTGAGGCAGACACAAGACAGGCCAATAGTTCTGTGGAGTGAGTGAATGGACACTTGAGTATAACCCTCCTTCTCTCCAGTTCCTTTTTTTCTGCTGTGCATGTCTGACACTTACTTTGCAGCAGTATGGGTGCTTGCCGGATCCCTATGTAAACTATCAGCTCACTAAAGCATCAGAAAACAAATCCATCAAGAACTGGAAAGCAGCTTTTCAGGCAGGGTAAGTGCTAGGACTTGCCCACCTGCCTGTAGAATCACAGCCTGAGGCAGAAGTCAGAGCAGATGTAAATGATATTGTAGCTTAATGAAAGGAAAGCCAAATGTGCACTTCCTAAGACCTGGGGTGTGACTTTGAGCTTGAGATAAAGTGATAGACTAGCTAAAGCATCAGGCAGGGGGAATAAAATAAGAGTCAATGTGACTTACCTGAAATCTTCATTTCAGAAGAGACCAATCACAGTGCAGAAAGCAGGTTAACTGAGGAACAGATTTAGATTGGGTGGGTGAGTGAGTGAGAGAGAGAGAAGGGGATTAAGATGAAACCAGACTCTCTCTGAACAGAGGAAAAGGGATTCCTCACAGCTGTGTCAGTAATACATGTTCTCAGGCCAGGATGAGATGCAAATGCTGTTTGGTGGAGTTTGGTGAAACTCTTAAGGACAGCTGTCCTGATCGATCTGTCCACAGGAGACTGCACACACAACAGCTGGCTGGGCAGCCAAAAACATTTATCTGAAACAGGACTTGTGTCTTAATATACCACTCTTCCCATTGCAAGTTGCTTTTGTTTCCCCTTCCCTTGCATTTAGCCTTCAAAGTCAATATAGATCTGCTTTTTAGAGATGGTGAAACACCTCTGGTTAACATGAAGCTCTGATAGACCTATGGTTCCCTGGTATTTTTATAACCCAGGTTTCAAGTGTGCAGATACGTTGAGAAAAGTATCTTTAGTGAGTCATTCAAAAAGACTAGATGAAAACTGATAGGTTTGGAAATACATGGGGGAGGTAGAAGGAGGACTGAAAAAGGAAAATTTTAGTGGAGGAAAAACTTCACCCTCAGCAGAAATCTAATGTGTTGTACCCAGTGATAAGCATTACAGCATCAGAGCAGACTGGCCTCAGGCACCCAGAGAGGAGAAGACTGATCTCCTACACTTCAGCAGTATCATGTTCATCATACATAGTACTGTCTTCGATACCATAAAGAAAGGAAAAGATGCAACAGCTGCATATATTCAGACAGTGCTTTTTTTCGCCTGCCTGCATAAATTTCCTTCCTATATAAATTTTACTTTGTATGAGTAGACTTCCTGCTTATTGTTCCAGAGGGTCAGGCAAAATATGATATGCTTAAAGTCCTCTTTTTTTTTTTCTTTATTTTTTTTTCCTTCCTTAGGCTGACTCTAAATTGTGAATGGGAAAATGAATGAACTTACTTATTCCCTGGTACTGCTGTTAATGAGTGCTATTCAGCTGTCTTGAGCGACTTCTCAGCAATGCTGACAAAACCTGAATTTTCCAGGCCCAAGGATAGGATCAAAATAGCTCATTTGGGATCAACGAAATTCAATTTGCCATTAACTAGAGATGAGTGGAAGGATGCTGACGAGATCAGAGAGGCTTTTGGGGTGAAGAATACACAAAGGACCAGGGAGAAATCCTGAGCATTTCAGAGAGTGGAGGCGGAATGAGCAGACTGAGAAGAGACCGTGGTGGTGGGGAAGTGGGCAAGGAGGACACTGCCTGTTGCTTGAGCCATCAGCTAAGGAAGAATTTGGGCTGTGAAGGGAGCTGACCTAAGCACATCTTCTCCATCTGCAGAGATCCCTCCTCACTGCCATATTAGCGGGGAGGACGTGGAAAAGGCCTCAGCAATCATCCTCAGGGATGAGCTTCCTTCACCGACCTGCGGGGCCACGGGCAGAGAGGGGTCGGGCAGCGCCGCACGTCTGCGCCCCGCGGCCTCGAGCCCCGCAGCACGGCCAGGGGCAGAAAGGGCGGGGAACACCGTCCTCCCGCCCGAGCTCGCTGCTGGGGCTGCTCCGCGGGCCGCCCGCCCCTCGGTGGCTCCCGCAGTCCCCGCGGGCAGGGCTGCGGCGGGGCTGCTCCCCGGGACCGCACCGGCATCGCACCGGCACCGCGCCGGGCCGGCCGAGCCGGGCGGGAGCGCGCCGGGTGCGCCCCGGGGGAGGCGCGGCGCGGCCGCTGGGGGGCTGCCGGTAACTGAGTCGGGTCCGCAAATGTAGTTACCGGGAAAACCGCGCCTGCCGCTGCCTGCCTCCATCCATCCCTCCATCCTTTCTTCCATCTCTCCCTCTATCTCTCCATCCATCCCCCCTGCACCCCTCGCTGCTGGTGCTGCTGCTGTTGCTTCTCACGGGGACGGAGACAAATCCTCTACCCGCCCGTCTCCCCCTGTCCCCACCTGCTCTACCGTCCCCCCAGCTCCCGGCCTGCGGCACCGCCCGCCGCTCACCTGTGCCCGCCCCTCCCCGCTCCGCTCCCCAGGCGGCCGGGAGGGGCCCCGCTCCGCTGCACCGCCCGCCCCCTCCGCCCCGTTCCATCGCCATCCCGCGCCGCCCGCACCTGTCCTGTCCCGTCCTGCCCACTGGCCCGCCCGCCGGGGGTCCCTCGCCTCGCCCCGCCGCCGGCGCGCCCCGCGCCCCCCGCGGGCAGGAGGGGCGGCCCGGCCGGCGCTGCTTCCCCTCCCCGGGCCGCGGAGGGCGGCAGCCAATCGGCGCGGCGCTGCCGGGCCGGAGCTGTTTACCCAATCTCAGCCCGCCCCCCGTCGGGGAGCCGGGAGCGCGGAGCCGGGAGCGGGGGGCGGGCGGGCGGCGGGAGCTCGGCGGCGGCACCGGCGACGACGCGGCCGCGGTCGGGGAGCCGCGCGGGGCGCGGAACAAAGCGCGGAGGCGCGGCGGGAGCAGATGACAGCCTGGCCCACGGGCTCCCCGCCTGCCCGGCTCTCCCCGGCGGGGGCACCCCGCGCTCATACCTGACCATGACCCCGCACCGGTCCCCGCTGGGCCACCCCGGCATTTCCCGCTGAAGGGACTGGCTGCTTTCCGACCTCCACTGCTCCCTTACCTTCTCCGCCTACTCGCTGCTGAGGCTGCCGCCTCTCCCCGGAGCCCCGCCGGAGTGATGGGCTGCATCGGATCCCGCACCGTGGGTAAGGCGTTGGCGGGGACGGCGCTAGAGGATGCTCGGGCAGCCGCGGACCCCGCCCGGGGACCGACACGACAGCCCCCGGCACCGTGGGTGGCGGGTCGCCCCTCGCAGCCCCCCTCCTGGCTGCCCGTCCAGCGCCATTAGCTGCGTGAGACCCTTCCCCACCTCCCCCTGTGCCCGGTCTCCCGTGGCGTGGCGGGGCTCCGCGGAGCCCCGGCCGCTGGCCTAGGCGCTGGCAGCGCGGCGGCGAGACGTGCCCGGGGCCGGGGGGTCGTCTGCCCGTGTCACCCGTGACAGAAGGTCGCGGAACATGTGGGTCAGTGCGGCGTCTCCGGAGGAGGGGGTGGGAGCGGGGTGTGCCGTGCCGTGCCTCCCAGAGCGGGATCGGGATCAGGCGGACGGCAGCTGCCTCCTTTGCTCGGTAGCGGTTTATTGTTATCCGAGGATACATAACATTGCATGATCTGCACGTCGTCTTCTCTCCCCCTTCCCCCTACGTAGACTTCAGTGGAGAACAGCAAACAAATCTGAATCCCATCCCTCTGGCAGAGCCATTGCGAGGGGACACAGGGAGAGAGATCGCATCCTTCTAGTGGGCCACGCACATTTTACAGCTGAGGATCCCAAGCCTTTAGGCTGGGTAACCCAGCTCTCCCCTCCTACACACATGCAGATACCAAGAGATCCCTTGATCCCTAAGCACAGGTCTCTACAGGTAAAAACAGCATTCTGGCCACACTTTCTTCCCTGCAGGAAATTTTTTTTCTGTGGAGATGTATCATTCAAGACACCAGAAGAATCTCTTGAGAGCAGAGTTCATTTGGTAGTACGTCTCACTACCAAGTCTGTTCACTAAGCACACGGGCACAGTGACATTTGTGGGAAAAGGAGACCTCTAAGCACAACAGAGTTGCAGCATGTCCCCAGAATAAATCTGAGGGGCTATCTCAAAGTCTGGTGCTGTGACACTTGTCTCAATGGGACAGCCCTTCATGAGCACTTCCAGGGAATCTACTCCTGCAGCAGCAAACGTAAACTACAGAATCCAGTTTCTACACTGGGAATTAATTCCCATATCTAACCTATGTTTCTTTGTGGTCTCAAATGTCCTCATGACACAAAGAAATCTCTGACATCTACTGTAATGTCCACATGGCAATGGTCACTGCACTATTTCCATTAAGATTCTTCAAGCTCACCTGGATCTCTCTCTCTCTAGCATATCAAAACATACATTGCCTCCACCTCCTGCATTGCCCCTATCCCTCACACATCCACACTGCTGAGGACATTATTATCCTGTTAGCTGGCAAATTGTCCATGTGCCTTTTATTGATGTGTGTCTGAAGTAGCAGCATTAATTCTTGTTCTCTCTTCCCACACCACAACACTCTTGAAATAAAGAAAAAGCATGGATCTAGTAGCACCCACTCTCTACTCCAGAATGTAGTTAAGCTGTCATACCTCACCACACAGGTATTTGTTCCTATGCATGCCAGTGTTTTTATGGTCTGTGACTTGAAATCTGTGTTACAAAAACAAACAAACAAACAAACAACTGTTTGTATAATTGAGCTATTGCAAGTATCATTCTCATATGAGAATATAGTTATATATATATTTATAAATGTTATACAGATATGTGGGCCTAGATGAAAACACAAAACAGTGTCTATGCATTAAAATGATGATGGCATAATGATAATTGCAGACTTTGTCTGCCAATTGAGGTCCTTAAATACAGACCTTAATAGTATAGATATTGGACTCCCCATATGATAGCGACTTTTTGTTGATGCAGTGTATGTTCATTCTAGATGGTAATAGCACAGTGGACATTAGGGACCTACTTGTACAGTTAACTGAGGAATTGTTCTTGACCCAGTGTTAAGAAGGTGTGTGCCAAGGGGGATTGCACAACTCTGATTCTAATCCCCGTGGCAGTGAAACAGGAATGTGGTAATAGTGCCTGATGCCTTTTTGTGTAAAACTTTTATGCTGCTTTGCTTTAGTAGGGGCTTCATCTGTTCTCAGTCCTAGAGGCTGGGCTGAGTGAAGATGGGACCCTTGAGTTTATTTGGACTCCTCCACCTAAGGAGTTTTGTTCAGAACAAATCTTATTTGGCAGCCTAGGTTTTTCACTCCAGCCTTCCTAAAGTTATAGGGAGGATTCTTCAGACCTGTTCTGGGAAATCAGTGCTTTAAAGTGCTAGGTCTGAGCTCTAGAATATGGTTGGCCCTAACACCCTAGCATGAGTAGGGCTTCGTATTCTTGCTGTATAGTGTATCTAGATTTTTGCCAAATTAGTTTCTGCAGAGAAATAGGTCCTAAAGGTAGAAGAAAGGTGGTACTCTTGTGTTAGCTTTACCTTGAAAATTGCATGTGGCAGATTTTGAACTCAGAACTTGGGTGGTTTTAATTAGTGATAGAAAGCTCATAATCAGTCACATTTAGTTTATTCACCACACAAGGGCCAGTGCAGGATTGTGCCCTGAGCTCGCTCCAGGCCTTTTTCCATTCCAATTTTAAGCAAGCCACATGATTTCTTCATCTCCCGCAGGGATGTTTTACTATGATCTAGTTAGATGTCATAGTTCGCACATGTTTAGTGATGTGCAACTTTACATTTTCTTTCCCAAAGATGAGGTTTCTGGTTATTTCTCCCTGGGGAAAAGTAATTGAAAGGGTCGTAACAGAGCAGCTCCGTATGTGTTAATTTGAAATAGAGTCATATAGCATCTTTTAGTTTTATAGAGGACACACACAATGGTAATGATCAGATTAGGATTTCCTGGGGTATGGAAAAAGCTAAAAAGTGATCTTAAAAGTCTAAGCTGATATCCAGTCACCTTCTCCACAGCTGCAGCCAGTCGCATCTGAATGTCATACTTGTGCTTTGTGTAACATGGCATGATAGCAGTTACAGAATGAGCATTGCAGCTGGCTTCTGCCTCTGGTAATAGCTACAGGTCAGGTCTGTGTATTGGTGATACCCCATCATAGTTCTTAAAGAGCTGCCTAGCAACTCTCATCATAGCTGGGGCTCAGTTTCAGGCAATGTACAGAATGTTTTCACTGAGATTGCTGGACAGTTAAGGTTGCAAAATCCAGCTAGGAACTTGTAGATATTTGAGTACCAACTAAATGGCAAAGATCAGCTTGACTGGTGTCAGTAACTGAATTAGCCAAGTTTAGGATTTCAGGCCCGCATAGATGTCTGAATGCATTGCAAGTGTGCCTTTTACCACAGCTTAGACATCTCCTAACACTGGCTGTTCTGACTAGTGTGGCAAGATTTCTTTTAATTCCTTGAATGGATTTAGATTAATAGAAAGCTCAAGCCTATTAAGCTCAAGATTGCTCTCTGTTTTTTTTTTCCCAGTGTTGTCTCTGATTTCTCTCATGTCTTTGCACAGAAGCCTACAGCAAGCATGTTTTGTGAAGTGGTGTAAATTGATGGGAAAATATTCCAAGAAATTAAAGACTAATAGTACTTTTGGAGTGTGGGAGAGGAGAAACTAGGCATGCTCACACTGGGTATCAGGATAAACTTTTTGACAGTGAGGAGTGTCAAGCACTGTAAGGGGTTTCCCAGAGAGGTTGTGCAGTGTCCATTCTTAGAGGTTTTCAAGACCAGACTGGATAAAGCCATGAATAACCTGGTCTAACCTCATAACTGTGCTTTGAACAGGAGTTTGCACTTCAGGAGATGCCTTCCAACCCAATTATCCTGTGATCCTGTGCTTAGAATCTATAGCCTGGCATGGTTGCCTTTCTGAGTCAGGTTGGACCCATTGCTTTAGTCTTGTTCTGCCAGAGGACCCTGGGTCTTCTACATGTTGTCAGTATGCTCCTATATGTTCCTCCCATCACCACTTTCCTGTAACTACTGAGAGTACTAAAATCCCTCACCATGATAATCCCGGTTGTCAGCTGAAGTCCTCCCCATGTGTTTTTGCTCTGGCAATTTTGAAAGAAACAGCCTGAGCAATAGCTAGGCTCATGCACCAAATTATCAGTTGTTGACCATGCGGACTGATAAAGGCAGTGCTTTTCATTTTTCAGTCTCTGAGTCAAATCTGATCGGCCAAAGCCATCTACCTGGCTTGCTGGACTGCCCTCTACAAGGAATGCTCAGCGTACTGCAGAGGCAGCAGTACATACTTTCTCTGTTTCTTTTGGACTGGATGTTCTATACTAAGTGTAAACGAGTGGCTCATAGCATCCACAGCAGGAGGAATGGAGCCAAAGACCACCCACTTCTAATCCAGCCACTTTAGATTCAGCAGAGTGGGAGCAGGCTGGAGACTGACAGGAGAGGGGTAAAGCAGCTGGAGCAAGCAGTGAACATCCCCTGCATTTTTCTCCTTACTCATGCCCCCCACAAATCTGTAGGTGTGTGAAGTGAGATCTGGAATGGCAAGTGTAGTCTACACACTTGGAGTGTGAAGAAGTGAGAGATCCAGTCTGCATACATACATCATACATATCAAGAGGCCCGGTGTCCAATTTCTCCCTCTTCCACCTTCAATGTATAAGTGAATCAGTGAAAAATAGAGGGAGAAGCCTCAGAGAGGAAATGTTAATGCAGAAGGAAACTGAGTCTTGAAAGTAGGGATATATTAATTTATTTGCATGCACACAGGTGGAAGGGGAAGGAGCACAGAGCTCTGTGTAGACACTGCCACTTCGTAGGCAGTGTGGGAATAGGTGGAGATGGGCATCTGGATATATTGTTTCTCTCTTACCCAGGGGAGAGACAAGAAGAACAGAGAGAAAGGGATACCTTTCCTTCCAAATCAGACTAGTTTGAGGTTGTTCTCACTTCATTACTTGTATTTCTTCCAAGTCTGGCTTTTCCACTTTTGAGCAGTTCTCAATCTGATCAGTTTAAAAATTCAAGTAAAGAGCTCAGGGGTAAGAATTTGTTTCTGCCAGTAAGGATCTGAACAGAGACCATCTCCCAGACCTAGCAGCCAGTTGTCACAAAGAGCCTACAA